GACTGTGAGGAAATAAATTTCTCTTTGTTAAAGCCATACACTTGTGGTATTTCTGTTACAGCAGCACTAGATGACTAAGACAATGGGCGATATCACAACAGACCCAACTGAAATTAAAAGAATAACAGAATACTATGAAAAATTGTACTCCAAAAAAATTGAAAACCTAGAGGAAATGGACAAATTTCCAGAAACACACTACCTACCTAAACTAACACAAACAGAGGTAGAACAACTAAATAAACCTATAACAAAACAAGAGAAAAGGTAATTAAAAAACTCTGAACAAAAAAAAAAGCCTTGGCCCTGACGGCTTCACTGGAGAATTCTACCAAACTTTCAGAGAAGAGTTAACACCACTACAACTAAAGGTATTTCAGAGCATAGAAAGGGATAGAATACTCCCAAATTCATTCTATGAAGCCAGCGTAACCCTGATACCAAAACAGGTAAAGACACCACAAAAAAAGAAAATTATAGACCAATATCATGAACATAGACGCAAAAATCCTCAACGAAGTTCTAGCCAATAGAATTCAACAACATATCAAAAAAATAATTCACCATGACCAACTTGGATGCATACCACTTATGCAGGGATGGTTCAATATTAGAAAAACAATCAATGTAATCAATCACATAAATAAAACAAAAAACAAGAACCAGATGATCTTACCAATTGATACAGAAAAGGCATTTGACAAAGTCCAACACCCATTCAAGAGAAAACTTCTCAGCAAACTAGGAACAGAAGGGAAATTCCTCAACATAATAAATAGCATTTATACAAAGCCAACAGTCAACATCATACTAAATGGAGAAAGTCTGAAAGCATTTCCCTTGAGAACGGAAACCAGACAAGGATGCCCTTTATCACCACTCTTATTCAACATTGTGCTGGAGGTCCTAGCCAGAGCAGTTAGGCTAGAAAAAGCGTATCAAAATTGGTAAGGAGGTAGTGAAGGTATCTCCATTTGCAGACAATATGATCTTATACACAGAAACCCCCAAAAAATCCACAAGAAAACTACCGGAACTAATAGATTTCCACAAAGCATCAGGATACAAGATAACATACAAAAATCTGTTGGATTCCTCTACACGAATAAAGAGAACTTCGAAGAGGAAATCACCAAATCAATACCATTTATAATAGCCCTCAAGAAGATAAAATACTTACGAATAAATCTAACCAGAGACATAAAGACCTATATAAAGAAAATTACAAGACACTACTGCAAGAAACCAAAAGAGACCTCCATAAGTGGAAAAACATACCTTGCTCATGGATAGGAAGACTCAACATTGTGAAAACGTCAATTCTACTCAAAGTGATCCACAGATACAATGCAATCTCAATCCAAATTCCAGTGGCATTTTTCAACGAGATGGAGAAACAAATCACTAACTTCAGATGGATATGGAAGAGGCCCTGGATAAGTAAAGCATTACTGAAGAAGAACAAAGTGGGAGGCCTCACACTGCCTAATTTTAGAACCTGTTATACTGCCACGGTAATCAAAACAGCCTGGTCTGGTACAACAACAGATACATAGACCAATGGAACAGAATTGAGAATCCAGACATAAATTCATCTACCTACGAGCAGCTGATAATTGACAAAGGCCCAAAGTTCGTTAATTGGGGAAAAGACAATCTCTTTAACAAATGGTGCTGGCATAACTGGATATCCATCTGCAAGAAAATGAAACAAGACCCATATCTCACACCATGCACCATAACTAATTCAAAATGGATCAAAGACCTAAATATAAAATCTAAAATGGTAAAGATCATGGAAGAAAAAATAGGGAAATGCCAGGAGCCCTAATGCATGGCATAAACAGAATACAAACCATAAGTAACAATGCACAAATACCAGAAGACAAACTAGATAACGGGGAGCTCCTAAAAATCAAAGACTTACGCTCATCAAAAGACTTCACCAGAAGAGTAAAAGGACAATCTACAGACTGGGAAAACATTTTGGCTATGACAAATCCAATCACCATCTAATCTCTAAAATCTACAAGATACTGCAAAACCTCAACAACAAGAAGTCACATAACCCAATTAAAACACGGGCAAAGGATATGAACAGGCACTTCTCCAAAGAAGACATTCAGGCAGCTAACAGACGCATGAGGAAATGCTCATGATTATTAGCCATTAGAGAAATGCAGATCAAAACTACAATGAGATACCATCTCACCCCAACAAGGCTAGCATTAATTCAAAACACACAAAATAATAAATGTTGGAGAGGTTGTGAAGAGACTGGAATACTTATACACTGCGGGTGGGAATGTAAAATGTCATAACTACTCCGGAAATCGATTTGGCACTTCCTTAAAAAGCTAGAAGTACCAGACAATCCAACAATCCCACTCCTTGGAATATATCCTAGAGAAATAAGAGCTGTCACATGAACAGATATATGCACACCCATGTTCACTGCAGCACTGTTCACAATAGCAAAAAGATGGAAACAACCTAGGTGCCCATCAACAGATGAATAAACAAATTATGGTATATTCACACAATGGAATACTATGCAATGCTAAAGAACAACGATGAATCCGTGAAACATAATATGGAGGAATCTGGAAGGCATTATGCTAAGTGAAATTAGTCAACTGCAAAAGGACAAATATTGTATGAGACCCCTATTATAAGAGCTCAAGAAAAGGTTTAAACACAGAAGAAAACATTCTTTGATGGTTATGAGGGTGGGGAGGGACAGAGAAGGGAATTCACTAACTAGATAGTAGACAAGAATTATCTTAGGTGAAGGGAAGGACAACACACACTACAGGGGAAGTCAGCACCACTGGACTAAACCAAAAGCTAAGAAGTTTACTGAATACAACCAAACACTTTGAGGGACAGTGTAGCAGGGGCAGGGGTCTGGGGACCATGGTTTCAGGGGACATCTAGGTCAACTGGCATAACAAAGTTTGTTAAGAAAATGTTCTGCATCCTGCTTTGGTGAGTGGCATCTGGGGTCTTAAAAGCTAGCGAGTGGCCATCTAAGATGCTTCAATTGGTCCCAACACACCTGGAGCAAAGAAGAATGAAGAACACCAAAGGCACAGGAAAATATTAGTCCAAGAGACAAAAGGGGCCACATAAACCAGAGACTCCATCAGCCTGAGACCAGAAGAACTAGATGGTGCCCAGGTACCACCAATGACCGCCCTGACAGGGAACCAAACAGAGAGTCCCTGACGGCACAGGAGAAAAGTGGCATGCAGAAGTCAAATTCTACTAAAAAGACCAGACTTAATGGTGTGACTGAGACTGGAGGAACCCCAGAAGACATGGCCCCCAGACTCTGTTAATCCAGAACTAAAACTATTCCTGAAGCCAACTCTTCAGAAAAAGAATAGACTGGAGTAGAAGACATAAAATGATATTTGTAAAGAGTGTGCTTCCTAGTTCAAGCAGATACACAAGACGAAATGGGCAGCTCCTGTCTGAAGGTGAGATGAGAAGGCAGAAAGGGATAGGAGCTGGCTGAATGGGCACGGGAAATCCAGGGTGGAAATGAGGAATGTGTGGTCACATTGTAGGGATAGCAACTAGGGTCACATAACAATGTGTGTATAAATGTTTGTATGAGAAACTAACTTGAGCTGTAAACTTTCACCCAAAGCACACACACAAAAAATCCTTCACTGTATGCTTGTTCTACTATCTGGTCCCATACTTACCAGAGCAGTATTAGCATAAATTAGCACTTTTCTATCTCAAAAAACAAAAAAAGAAAAAGTTCCCACCATTTCCCTGCTACACAATGTCTTGAGGTGTCTCAAAAGACAAACTGAAGAAATGGCTGAGGTGTAGGAACAGGCAAGAGAAGGCTCGAGACAGTCCCATGCAGTTTCCTGGGGGCCCAGATGCAATGGAAGAGTAGCTAATGTTTTCTCATCTCCTGAGAAGGTCTCCAAGGACATAAAAAGGAATGGAAACTGGAGAAGGCCTTTGGCTAGGACTAGGGGGACTAGGGAGACTTTGGCTCTGATCTGTGTGGACTGAGAACTGAGTATAGAAGGAGAGACCAAGGGAGAAAGAGGACCCTATATAAACAGCCTTCCCTATGCCCCTCATGGTTAATGTACCCAAGAAGTCATAGAGGGCAGATAACAGAGTATTGTAGGTCCTGACAAAGACTTTGCCTTTGTCTCTGCATGAGCTAGAGCACCACTGGAGAGTAGAAGAATGAACATTTCCACGTGTAAAGAACAGAGTGGTAAGTCCAGGGAACGAAAAATTTTCTTTGAGAGCTCCCAAGAAAGAAACTTTTGTTTTTCCACAGCCGTCTCACATTTGCGAAGTTCCCTAAACAATATTTAATTGTGCGGCTTTCCCATCTGAACTCTTAAACCTGTGTTCACACCTTTGATACAGTCCCACCCACCTGGTTTTTCTGCTATTTTCACTTCAGTTTCCATAGTCCAAGATTCTTTCCCTTGCTCCAAATGGAAGTAATATTCCACTGAGAAAGAGAGATTCCTGCTTATATTAAAAAAGGTACATGATGTGTCGTGGCTTTTCCAGAATACAACACCAGCTCTTTGTTTGGCTGAGAGGACGTTATAGATGGATCACAAATATCTGCAGTGCCTGCCGCCTTTTGAATGCTTAAGCATTTTTAAAATACGCAGATATCTCTCTTCCAAGAACTAGTGTATCAAAAGCATAGGGGTAAAACCAGAGAATCAGTATTTTAAAAGTTGGCCATAAGGTTTTGTGCGTACTCAAGTTCTGGAACCACCACTGATCTATAGTGAAGTGGGCAGATCATCAGAAGAAAGGAAGGTTAAAGTCCAGATGACACATTATGAAGCTTTTCATTTCTGAATCAACTTCAATCTCTGCCTTAACAGCAGGGATCTGAAATTATGCTAGGTAAGGCAGCAGCTCCCAAGACCCTCACAAGGGAAACTGCAAAGATATACAAGGGCAGATCCCGACTTCCGTAGGGATATTATCCTCACCAAGAGAGACCAGGTTCCTGTAGTTCTCCAACATCACGTCCCTGTACAAAGCCCTCTGAGTAGTGTCCAGGCATTCCCACTCCTCCTGAGAGAATTCTATGGCCACATCCCTGAATGTCAACAGTGCCTGTAATGAAAAACACATCTCACCAAGTGGACATGGGGAGAGTTCTTATCTTCACACAAAATGAGAGCAGAAAGGTATTAACTAGTGATTAGACTGTAGTGTCCTGATGGATCCACAAGTAAGAACTTTGAACAAATTATATGTCCCTAATTTTTTTTCCCTAATTTTGTTGTATTATACTTTTCCATCAGAGAATATAAAATCTGCTAAGTCACATTTCTGTGGATTATAAAAGAAATATACAAATAAAAAATATTTAACAAAGGGTTGTCTATGTACTACACACCAAGTAATATTCAATTTCTAGATGAGCCAGAGCAGGAGTGATCTCTTCAGGGATGACAAAGTCCACTGTGGCTTCAAAGAAAGGTCAGAATCTAAATATTGTTCAATAATGACCATAACAGCAAGGAATAAGTTTTTAAACTTTTCCTATGTACTAGGCATTAATTGAAATGCTTCATATGTATTAACTAATATAATGACATAACAGCCCATTAGGGACAGACGTGTTCTCATGTTACAGAAGAGACCACTGTGTCACAGACACTCTAAAAATCTCACCTCAGGTCAAACAGCTAATAAATGGCAGAGCCAGCACCTGAACCCAGATAAAAATCCAACAGTTAAGAAACTGATATAGCATTAAAAGTATGTTGACAAAGAGTTTCCTAATTGAGAAAACTTGAAACACGTTCAAGGCCAACAGCATGGAACTGGATAGAAGGCCACTATATATGCACACACACGCACACACGTAATGAGTTACTACTCTTACTACTATTAACTCATTAACATGTGTTAGACATTTAGGTCGAGTCCATATTTTAAAACCAATTATGGAATAAAACATTATCACTGCTGTTTCTGAACTTTCTACTTAATTACAAATGATTTACATTTTTGCACCAAAAACACTTCTTAACTTACTTAGCTTTGAGTATATTATAAAATCAGGCACAGCAGGACTTCCCTTAATTAGTCTCCTTCTCTAGAATTTTCCAGCTGCTCCCGCACATCAATTTGGCACATAAATGTGCAGTTTCTTCCAGACTGGTAAACAGAGAGCTGACAGGGCATACAGAGGCCCCTAAACCCTCCCTGCTTCCCACCCTCACTGCCCCCATAGGGCCCACTTCATGTGTGCCACCCAGGCCTGGTGTGAAGCCCTTCCTAGGATGCTCTCCAAATGGAGCCTCTTTACAAGTCCCATGTCCCTGGGTCATGATGAGATGGAATCTGTGTGGAGGTGAGAGGGGACTGAGGTCAGGCCCAGGGTGAGTGCAAGTGAACCTGTTAGGCAGGACATGTCAGGGTCAGAGGAGATGAGCAAATTCTCAGGACAGCATTTCAGGAAGGAGAGGATAGAGCTACCAAATGGGAATATGACTGTTACCTGGGAAAGAGCCATTCTGGAGGCGTTTCTTTCCACTTCGGGCTTCTTTCTCAGGCAAGATCAGTCTTGAGAAATCAATCTTGAGTGTTGAAAATATGCTGTCAAATTCTTAGAATCAGCACCTGTGCCATAACCACACACACAGGGAGGACAAAACCATGGGGAAGGGATGGGCCCTACTGCCCACTGCCCCAGGAGGGACAGTAACCTCCTACACAGAGAACAACAGGTGAGTTTACCACCCTCCCCTCCTGGTGAAGCCCACACTCTGCCGCAGCAGGGCAATCTGGGCTGGACTGACCTTCCTCTTCAGGTCACAGACCGGGCCCTGACACCACAACCCATGCACAGCAGAGTCCCTTCTCCTCCCCTTGGAAAGGGGGCTGGTCTCAGCCCTCAGAAATGGATGACCCAGAGCCTGTGCTCAATGTTGGATGCAGATTAGAATCACCTGGGGTGTTTAAACATCCTAGAGGATGGGCTCCACCCTAACTATTTGAGAGGGATCTCTGGGGAGAGGGCATAAGCAAGGTGTTTGCAAAATGTCTCAGTAATCACTGTGGAGCCAGGGCTTAGACCGCTCAGAAGAGGCAAGCTCAGCACACCTGTTACCTGTGGCTCTGCTCTCCCCTGGGGCTGAGCTGTCACCTGGATCCAGACAGAGGAAGGGGGCAGGAACAGAGAGAAACATTCAGATCAGGCGTTACGGGCCAGAGGTGGGGTGAGGGTGTGGCTGGACTATTAAATGGGGTGTCAGAAAAGTCCTGACAAGGTGATATCAGAACAAAGAGCTGAGGGAGGAAGGGTGTTTACAGCTGCATGTGAGGGACCAGGATGGCTGGAGCAGGTGTATGAGGAGATAAATGAAATCAGAGGGGTCCCGGGTCTTTAAACCATCTTTTCTCTTAGAAACACTTAGAAATAATGAATTATCTTGTTTATTTTAAAAACATACCAAGATGTTCACCTGAGCCCCAGGAAGCTTGGAGTCGCCCTTAACTGAGCCTTTGACAAGTGCAGGTGGACACGTTTGGGGGAATTTGGAAGTCATTTTTCGCACATTTGAAGGTGGAGATGCCCGTGAGAGGCCCCAGCAGAGATTTCGAGGAGCCAGCTAGACACGAGTCTGGAGATGTGGGGAGAGGTCTGGCTGGAGAGGTGAAATTGGGAGATGTCAAGGTGTTTAAAGCAGTGAGATGATAGGGAAAGGCCGTGAGTGTAGACAGAGAAGAGAAGAGGTTCACGGACCGCAGTGCCCTGGGTGTTACCCAAGTTGAGAGACCAGGCGGTTCAGGAGAAACCAGAGGAGGAAACTGAGAAGTGATCAGGGAGGAGAGAGAAAATTAAAACAGATACAACTTGCCTTCACTCTCTAGAGATCCCCCTTTTCTCTACATTTTTGCTCTGCTTTCTCTGCTTATTTTTTTCACTCTTCGCGTCTCTTAGCAAGTCCCTCCCCCAGCCTCTATTCTGCCATCTGTTTATGGCTCTCAGTCTTCCTCTTAGTATTTCTATTTCTCTCGCTACTGCTCTCAGTTTCTCTCGATCCCTTCGCCCACACGTGCACTGGGATGGAATGAGATGCCCGCTGCCCGGGAAGAGCACATCTTCCAGGGGTAGGACTAGGGACAGAAGAACATGAGGTGTCACAGAACACCTCTCCCGACACTGAGGTCAAGGAGGAAGCCGTGACTGCGAAGGTGAGGCCGGCGGAGCAGCGGCACCTAGCCTGAGGAAAACGCGAGGACGGGGTCTCGGGAGAGAGGTGGTGTCTCAGAGTTCCAGGACCAGGAGAGGACGGGCGGCCTACGTTGCCCTCCATGGGCGACACTGAGGGAGGAGGAGCGGGAATGTCGCCAGAGACTCTCCCGGTGAGGACTGGACCCGGCGCAGACGGACGGGGGTCAGGGAAGCGTTTTAAGCAGGAAAATGACGCGACAGGCGGCGTCTGCACGACCTGAGGGCAGAAAAGCCGGGGCAGGGACCCGCCTCAGCGCGATTTTACACCTAAACGGACGCGGATCCCCGGCCGGTGGCTAAGCGACAAGGGTTCAGAACGTCTCCTGGCCACGCGGGGATCTCCGGGAGTGGGAAGGGCAGGTACGGAGACTTTAGCGTCAGGAGCCACCCCCCGGGCTGGGTGTGGAAGACGGGGACCGCGAAGGCCAGATTTAAACCAGAAAAACGGAAATTCACTCACCTCCCTGTGACCTTCCCACCGCGCAATCCGCTTCCGGGTCTGTACGAAACTGCGCCGGTGCACCCGGCAAGGGGCGGGGCGTGGACAAGGTAGGCGGGGTCTGGGCGGGACCTGAGCTTCCCTCTTCCTTACCCTTAAGGCGTCCCTGTTTTTTGGTTTGAACAGTTTGAATTAGTTTGTGTCCTGTGAAACAGGGCTGCCGTCTGACTATTTTTTTGTTTTGTTTTGTTTTCCAAAAGACAAGCGATTTTACTACTCCTCTCTCAGCAGTTGATAGAACTAGACAAAACAAACAAAACAGGAACAATAAAGACATAGATCTTCAAATACTATCAACTTCCTAAATCTGATTAACATTTATAGAACATTACATAAACAATTGCAAAATGCACATTATTTTCACAGGTGCCCTCTATTTTAACTTAATGTTTCAGATAAATTGAGGTAAAAGATTAGAGTTATGTAGGCCACTGTTGTTGGATGCTACAGACTCATATACATTAAAAGAATAAGAAGAATATTATGAACTACATTAAAACCTGTGAAAGCTAGAAAACCTGTGTAAGGCAGAAACCTGTCAGAGAAGGAAACCTCAAATATTTTCCACTAAAACGAGCGATAGGAAAGTGGTAAAACTGCACCCTGCAAAGCCTGAGAACTTCCCCGGAAAAACAAGGAAGTTCCATTGAGTTCCAGCTCTCACAGGTTTTGCTGTACTTCATGCTCATAAAATGGACAACTTAAATGAAATTATGAATTTCTTGTGATGCTGGTGAAGAATATTGAATATATCATGGACTGCTAAAAGAGCAAACAAATCTGTCTTGGAAGAAGTACAACCAAAATGCTCTTTAGAAGCAAGGATGGTGAGACTATGTCTCACGTACTTTGGACATGTTATCAGGAAGGATCAGTCCCTGGAGAAGGACATCATGCTTGGTAAAGAACAGGGTCAGTGAAAAAGAGGAAGATCCTCAACGAGATGGACTGACACAGTGGCTGCAACAATGGCTCAAGCATAACAGCGATTGTGAGGACGTTGCAGGACCGGACAGTGATTCATTCTTTGGTACATAGGGTCGCTGTGAGTTGGAACCGACTCAACGGCACCTAACAACATATGAAATGGAACTAATTCCTTCAAAACAACACTGACTCACAAATAAATAGTAACCTGGATAGGCCTATATGTATTATATACATAGAACTCATGGTTAAAAACTTCCCAATAAAGAAAACTTCAGGGTAGATGTCTTCCCTGGTGAATTTACCAAAGAAAGAAACTCTTCCAGAAAAACCTTTCCAGAAAATAGAAGAGCAGCAACCATTTTCACTTCCTCTTCTAAGCCACTGTGAGGTCCTGATACCAAAACTAGACAAAAATTTGACAAGAAAATGCCACACCTTCATGGGCATAAATGCAAACCTCAAAATACAAGCACACCAAATCCAGTAATGTGTAAGTTGGATGATACACTATATCCAAGTGGGGTTTATTTTGGAAATGCTAGGCTGGTTCAACATTTAAAAACTGATAATATTCACAATGAAATTGGGAGATGTCAAAAAAAAAAAAAAAAAAGCAAAGCCATACGATGATCTCAAAGGATACAGGAAAAGTTCTTTAAAAAGCTCAACATCTGCTAATTAAAATAAAAAAAAAAAAACAACTCAGCAAACTAGAAATACGAAGGAACATCCCAAGCGATAAAGGGAATCTAAAACGAAACCAACAGCTAAAATAATACCTAATGGTGAAGACTTAATGCTTTCCTCCTAGGATTGCAAGGTTGTCCACTCTCACTCTCCTTATTTTAATTACCTTGACTAATTCTTCCAGCACAACACTAGAGATTTGAAATCAACTCATGTTCTTTCTGGCTTTAGTGGGACTCAATCGAGTGTTTTCCTGTAAGTAACATGACAGCTTAAAGGCTCAGTGATACATGTTGCATCCAGTTAAGGAAGTGTACACCAATTCCCCAGAGATTGCTTTATAACCTGTAGATTTTTGTCAAATAGCATTTTTTTCATGTATGAACATGTTCACACGACTTTCTTCTTACTCTATAAATTTAATTAATTAACACTTAATGGATTTTATAATATTGAACCATGATTGCATTCCTCATATAACTTGAACCTGGCCATGAAATATTTTAATGTGTTGTTGCAATATTTCTCATGTTTAGTATTTTCATCTCTATTAATATGTGAGACTTGTCTGTAATATTATATTTGACCTAATCTTTGGAAGATTTTTGGTTTCACTCTCAAAAATTAGTTGGAAGATTTTCTTTAATCCTCTTAAGTAATGTAAGCAGCATTGCTTGATCTGGTACTTGAAAGACTGGAAGAATGTCATGGTGAAACCTTATGCATCTGGTGCTTTTTGTGAGAAAATCTTGTATAGACTTCTCTGTTTCTTCTATGCATATGGTTCAGTTTAGAATCTCTCTACTGGATATTCTGTATCTATCTAAATAGATATATTCTCATATATCTATATAAATATATAGGTCCCTGGTGGTGCTAATGGTTTGCACTCAATTGCTAATGGAAATGTTGGCAGTTGCAACCCACCCAGCAGTGCCATGGAAGAAAAGCCTGGCAATCTGATGCCATAAAGATTACAGCCAAGAAAATCCTGCGGAGCTCAGTCCTATTCAGCAACACATGAGGTCACCATGAGTCAGAATCAACTTGACAGCAACAGATTTCTTTCTTTTTTTTTTGGTATATAAATTATTTCTTTCATCTGTTTTTAAATTCATTTGTGCTGAATTGTACGATTTGGTCTCTAGTGATTTTTAATATTGATTCTTGACATGTTCTTCCTTTCACTCTTCCCCATTGGTAAATCCTCATCGTTTCTTTGTGACGTAGCATTTCTCTGCCCAGAAAAAAATAACGACGTAGATCAGAGGTCTGATCAGAGTAGATTTTGGTGCAGGAGGAGGGATAAAGAACTTCTTAGGGAAGTTCAGAATCCAGTGAAACTCACGTGCTTCTCTGCTAGTCCCTAATGGTTCAGACCTCAGCATTTCCTATTCTCTCTCTGTAAGCCCTCAGCTACCTCCTAGGATCATGAAAAGGGAAGAACTCTCCTAGTTTCTGGGAAAAGCAACTGGGAAAAGAGTTTTTCAGAAACTGTTTCAGCTCCTCAAATAACCAGTGCCATTGCTACTACAGATGAAATGATAATTGCAGTTTTGTGGGGAGGTGAGGTCACAGAATTAAAACCTTCCTATTAGGCTCTGGGTACCTCCCTCCCACACTCAATGGTTGTCAAGACCATCAACTGAGCCCACCATCCTGGCAGCAGGAAGGAATCAGGCAAGTATTTTCAATCTGTCTGACAGGCAGTCTGTAAGGGAAGGTATACTAAGGTCTGGGTAAGCTCACAGGTCCAGAAAAAGTATCTTCCTGGGGTAGAAATGAGGTCTTTGGGTGGTGCAGTGTGCACTCAACTACTAACCTAAAAGCTGGCAGTTCAAAGCCACCCAGTGGCATCATAGAAGGCCTGGGCATCTGCTTCTGTAAAATTACAGCCAAGCAAACCATAAGGAGCAGTTTTAGTCTGTAACACATAGGGTCACCATGAGTCAGAACTGACTCAATGGCAACGTGTTTGGGGTAGAAATAGGTGCATTGCCAAAGCTATACTAGAAAAAGGTCTGAGTCTGTGAATACTGATGTTCTTAACACTATACAAACCCTCAATTGCTCCCAAAGTAATTCAATGTAATCCTTACATTGGTTGTTGATGTTTTTATTCCAAGCAATAATGAAACCTGAATTTTTAATGTGCTTAAGATTATAATGTAGAATCAAGTTGCTATAGTCTTCTCTACAAAATCACCAAAATTAAAAAAAAAATCAGAATTAGCTGTTTCTATAAGCCTCCATACATTGATGAGTCTAATGGAGTTAATCAAATTTTCTAATTCTGTACAGAAACACGGTATCTGAGCAGCAACTGAACTGTATTTCTTCTTTGTTAAACCTCAGCTTATGATGAGCTTAATGGAGCCAGCAACCGAGTCACTACTGAAAATATTTCTAATATCGACTATAGAGAGAGGCAGGACCAGGCATCGTTTCATTCTATTATAGGAAAGGTTGCTATGAGTCAGGGCTAACTCTGGCAACTAACATCATTTTCCCTTTGGAAGTTAGAGAAGTAGTATTTAAAGAAAAATTATTTTCAAAATTGAGGGTTCCAGATGGCAGTAAAAGACTATGGGCCTTAATGTTCAAGTTCAAATATATCTTGTGATATTTTCTCTAGTTTTGAAGTGTTCTAGTATCATTTTCAGGTCCAAATCATTGCTCTGCTATTTTAATTTATTCAAATTACAAGATTCCTGGCCTTTCAGAATCCATTTTACATATTGTTCTGATATTTTAATATCTTTTCTAATTCTCACATTAAGAGTTTCAGTTAATATCGATTAATGATCATTAAACAGATATGAGAATTAGTTCAGTTTCTACCTATTTTGTTGCCTGTTTATGTTCCATGTCCAGTTGCTTAGGGCACACGCCAATACTGTATAAAAATTCTGGTTCTAGGTGCATTGTATTTTGCTTATGGCATATTTTATTTCTGTTGTCTCCTTTTGCTAGAAGGACCATATTAAGTAATTCATTGCCCCGCAGTATGTATATTTTAACACCTCTAAATTCGTATTTATGTAATACTTGTCCTGCTGATGTAGTGGTTAAGAGCTATGACTGCTAACCAAAAAGGTTGGCCGTTTGAATCCACCAGGTGCCCCTTGGACATATGGGGCAGTTCTACTCTATCCTATAGGGTCACTATGAGTTGGAATCGACTTGACGGCAACGTTTTTGGTTTTTTTTTAGCAATGGGTTTGTCCTATAAAATAAATATTAAACAAATTGAAAATTAAATGGCACCAGTCTAAAAGAAATTGGCAAGATATGTAAACACATCTAATGCAGTTTTGAAGGATCTGAAGAACACAAAAACCAAACCCTTTGCTGTTGATTCTGACTCAT